CCAAAAAAGAGAAACACATGTCTTCTGCAGCAACTTGGATGGAGCTGGAAAAGATCATGCTTAGTGAGATAAGCCAGAAAGAGAAAGAAAAATACTGGATGGTTTCGCTCATAGCAGGAGTATAATGGACCAGGCGAGAAAATAACAAGAATAATGAACAGCCATATACCAGAGATATTTTGTGGGGGTGGAATGGGGAATGGGATCAAATGGGGGGATGGGGAGGGAAGTGCACGGGACTATGGTGATGGCACACGTGTGACTCGGTGATGGGGAACCCACGGGGATTACAATTGAGATTAAAAAAAAATGTACAAAATGATGTAAAAATAAACTGTTATTTTATAAAAAAAAAAAAAAAAAAGCATACCTAGTGTCCTTTTTGAAGTCAGTTACCTTCAACTGAAGAGTTGGTATATTTAGGAAGAATAATATGTATCTCACCATTGTTTTGAGGTAAGTAATTGTTTTGATGTAAGTAATTCGTCACCAATAATTATTGAAGTACAGAAGTTAGTGGCTCAAAAAACAATTAGGACTGTTTTAATGTTTAATCCTATAATAGCATTGCCCTCACTTGAGTTCAAACATGATTTTTGATGTATGAGAGGAAGGGGGCAAGGTAAGGAGGCTCTAGTTCATCCCGAATAGTATGTCCATGATACATTCCTAATACCAATATTCCATTAAGTGCAATAGTGATATTAAATTTATTCTTGAACAGAGAACAAAGAAAGGAATACCTTTATTATGCTGGAATTTTTATGGGGAGGAGGGGAGAGGGAAAACTGGGAGTGAGTGTGGGGGATTATCAAAATCAGGGAAGGTCTTTATGTATATACCACTTGCACATACTATCTACTATATAAATGACAGAAAGCAACTGATAGAAAAGTAAGACTCACTAGGTCTTTCAATATACACTTCTATTTAGGAGAAAATATATTTTTTCCACACTAGCTATTCGAGATTGCAACAACTGTATAAAGCAAGATGAGCTCATGTACAAATCAACAAAAATTTTAACCTTTTGTGTACATGGGCAGGGGAGGTAAGGGAGTGGCTCTGAACAGATTTTAAAGAATTGCCAATCTAAACCAAGAGCGTTTCAGTCAGTAAGCTACTTTATTTTAGCCAGAAAGCTACAGAGAGCTGTTCTTTAAGTAGAAAATATAAATACATACTGCATTCAGACACATTTCAAATTCGGTGTTTGGTTTATAACAAACTGTACTGAGGTTGTTAAAGTGAAAGTCATAAGCCACAGCGGGTCAAAGGTGAATGTTTAACAAACGTTTAACAGATCACACCTGAAGTTTGGAATCTTTGTGGAATGTCACCTTTCAATTGTAGCCCCGTACTCCTTTTAGTTTTCAAGCACTCACTTTTTTTTTTTTTAAGATTTATTTATTTATGCATACAGAACTGGGGTACAGGCCAGAGGTGCAGGTGTAGTGAGAGGACTCACCAGAGACTGAGTGGGGAGCAGAACAGGCAGACTGATGAAGTACACTGCTGAAGGGAGCAGCGGGTGGGTCAGAAGAGGTTTGCTGCACCATGTGGGTAACCTCCAGGGTAGGGATCGAACTCATGCTGAAGTAGCTATAGCTTCTCAGTGCTGTGCTTTAACCCGCTGTGTCACCAGGGAGGACCCTAGGCTTTCACTTTTATAAAGCCAATTTTGATACTAGGCCTGAGTTGAAGGAAAACCTCTGCCTATGGCACTACCAAAGTGAAAGTGAAAATTTTTGATAAAGCTCACAGCTTTGAAGAAAAGTTCAAGTGCCTTATTGCTTTAGTTTTCTTTTATTTCAACACTCATTATCAGGAGGAATTGAAAGGGAGTTTCTGTCTTTTGCTCCAAAGGCTAAATTCTATTCCCACTGGTGAGACCATAGCTGGCAACTTGAATATTTCACTATTCATTTATCTGCATAGTCTTCCATTTACTGGACTCAGGTTAGTAAACTACATTGATGGGATGGGATGTGTAGGTGTGCATACCTACACATTGGGTAAAGAGAAAAGTTGCTCTCTACATGCAATAAGCCAAATTATCCCAGTTCCTTTGAAGAAGAGCTCCATTGTCCCCCTTTTGTTTCTTTTCACAGCTTGAATAATATTTAGTTGAGATTTCATTAGCTCTCCTTGTTTTCAGTACAGTCTAACAGATGTGGGAAAGGACCACATATCTATGGGCAGGGCATCACCTATGAGATCCCAGCCTTCCTGATACATGTAGGTCTTAAGAGTTGAGGGTGTCACTGGCCTGATTTCAGAGAAGGTTCTTATAAAGCCGGCAACGTTAAGACCCAAATAATGTCATTTAGTGTCTAGGGGGAAGTTAAAAAGAGGATTAGAGATAGGCAGGCAGGCAGGCAGGGTATATTAAATGAGTCCATGACTAACAGGGTGTGACAGAAAAGGGTTTTATTCTTTTCAACAAAACAATTCCCAAGGGCTGGGACCATTACTCCACTGTGCCTTTATCACCTTGGAATTTTTATGGTTATTTTTGATGAATTCACATTTTTGTAAAGACTTTTTTGAAATGATGCCAGTTTTCAATTTTTAATTAAAGTCATAAATAATCTTAATTCTGCCTTAAAAGGTTTATTGTTTCTTACTCTTTTTTTTATTATTGCTGCCAGGAAATATTTCAAATACCAAGCCCTGATGTGAGTTAGCAATTAGAATCTCTCAGAGGTCTAGTAACAACATTGTACCATGTAAGTATTACATACAGGTATACCAGCATAAGGTCTAAAAATGTGAACTTACCAAATTTTGGCTACTCTTGGGAGCAACATTTCCATTTTTACAGTATGGAACAAATTTTACTATTTTAATTCAAATATTACTCCTTCACAGATTCATAAAGTACTTTTAAAACCTTCAGATTAAAGAGGTTAAAATTTGGAACATAAGCACACATAACCTTGTCAATGGACATTAAATCCAGTTCAACCATTTGCAGAAAACAGAGTACATGTCAACACTAAGTTTTTTGAGCGATAATACCTCATTTTACATAAGGCAAAATTAAGAGAACATTGAAATATTTGTATTAAACTAACACTGCTCCTCAAAACTATATTCTTATTATCTAGATTGTCTATTGAAGGTTATGTGCAAATTGCCTAAAATTTATATTTTGCAGGCTATGAAGAGACTATTTTTAAATTAGTATTTCAAGAATCACACAATCATAACTACCTTTCCTTTATACAGAGGCTAGGCTATACTATGTTTGCCGATAGAAACCATTAACAATTCATGAAATACCTTGTTTACTACCCACTCTCCAAATTACAATATTAAGGTAAATATCTCATTGCTGCTTATTTAACAGATATGGGACTTATATTCTCTCATGTCCATGAAAACTATTATTACTCTCTATGATGGTGTACTCCAATCTTATGATAAATTTGCTGTTACAGTAAAACTTCACTCAGCTGGGGCAACTTGGAAGTGGCAAATGATCATATTTAGGTAGCAAAAACTTTCATAAAGAGTTTTTAAAATAAATTCAACTTACTACTTCAATTTTATAAGGTATACACAGACAGTAACAAAAACCATTAGACTGTAGCCTTGCTGAACAGTTTACATTATGCAACAGTACTCTGTTAAGAATATAAAGCATTCTCCTTACAATTAACATTATTAATTCACTTAGCAGTTCCTTTGTTCTTTTAAAATACAAGAACATGGCCAATCCATGTGGAATAACCATCTATTATCTTTTGTTGATAATGATCTGTTATCAATTAACTGGGATTCCAATTAAAGAGATTTAGCTATATTACTAGAGGAAAATTCTTTTAATAACCGACTTACAAGGGTAAGTTTGTATGCAATTAAGAATATCTATCAAATCCTTCTAACTGGGTATTTTTTTTTTTTTAACTCCAGGGAAGAGGTCAAATTCTTTCCATATATGAGCCCTCAACTGGCATTGTGCTAACACCTCTCATGGAAGAAAACGCTTAAGTAACAAAAAAGACTACAAAGCATTTCCCAACATAAAAGTGTAAAATTACTATAAACCACAAAAGAATGTGAGAATCTAGCTAGCTAGAAGCTATGGTGACCTGAAAACCTTAATCATGGGCTTTAACCACACCATGGGGTTCAATCACTTGAATCTTAAACTCTTAAATTTGTCATGAAGGACTGCTGAATGAATCAGGTAGCCATCTCAACACAAATGAAATGCTCATAAGTCAAAGGTCAGGTCAACATGTTTTCTGCCATAGTCAGAAGATATTCATTGGTCCCAAAATTTACAAACTCAGTAATTAGGAAATGTCTTGAAAGGTAGGAAGTTGTTCATCTCTTGAGGTGTTGAAGCAAACCACTCATGGGCAATCTTATGAGGTTAGTAAGTTAGCTGGGCTGGATGGTTGCTCTTTAACATTTCCTCCACTGAACTTCCAACTGTAATTTCTATGAATCAGTTTGAAAGATGCTTAATAACCTCACTGATGTCAAAGTAATTTCAGTTTTAATTTTTTTGCAGCTTTTCATACACAGGTCCACTAAGAAGTTTTTTCCCCTTTAAGCCTTGAGAAGGATTTACTTATCCTAGAGATTCACTTACCTTCTTCATCAAAGTTAAAATGGTTTTCGTCAATTGACATTTTATAAAAAAGCACTTATCTCCAGGGAAAGTTTTGTTTTTGCCATTCAATTTTCTTTAACTGTTTGGACTTAATTTTCATAAAAGCTTTTGGTTACTTTGCATTTTAGGTGATTTCACTAAATTTCTCCAATTCTTATTATACATTCTTTCCTACTAAATGCATATCTGGTATATAGATCCCCTAACAAAACCACTAGTCTTGCTATTACTCATGGAAGACTTCCCTCTTCAAAATGTCTCCAGTATGCTACACTTTGAGAAGTGTAAGATTTCCAATGTGCTGCAGAAGTTTCCAGAAATGTATAAGTAACTTAAAGGTGCTTTTTCTGGATAAAGTATCATTTAAAATTACCTTTTTTCTTGCTTGTTGATCTTTGGAAGAATGTGCTTTCACATGTTTTCTGAGGGAACTTGGATCTGTGTAGCGTTTGGTGCATCCTGGAATTTGACAAGCATAAGGTTTCTAAATAAGAAAGAAAGAAAGCAGCAGCTGTGGTTAAATCATAAAGGTAACCTGGGAAAATTTTTTCAAAGACCTCAGACTGACCTCAGACAACGAACTGTAACCAACTGACTAATGTGAAATAATGGATAATTAATAGTCATTCATTTTAATTGGAAATGTAGTAAACATTAATCAAGGCAAAGAGAAAAAAATTTTCAAGAAGCAAAGAGATGGTGGTCTAGCTTAGATGACTTTTAAGATTTTGATGCTTTTAGATTATAGTCTTACCACAAAGACTTAGGTCTTACAGCATTTTTAAATGTGGAAATTATCAATAAGCATCTCTAGTCATACTTACAGTTGTGTTCACCTGAAAACAATCTTTGGTACTGTCAGAAACTAGAATACACATATTCTTTAATCATTCAGGTAAAGGAGCTGTAGAAAAGTCCAGAAAAGACTGGGAATGTTTCAGAAGAAACCTGATTTAGAAACAGAAGAAGAGCATTAAAAGTGAAAATTAGTAAAAGTGAGTTAGAAACAGTATGTTTCAAACAGACAAGTGAAAAATCATCCAGAGAAACATTAATATTATTAGTTTAGCAGGGAAGGGAGTCTTGGTGGTGGACTTGGATTATGTGGATAAACCTTGGACTGAGTGCAAGGAGAACATAAGTTTTGGGTACTAATATTCCCTCATGTTCCTGAAAGATGTGGTGTATAAAAGCTAAGGTTGAGTCTAGAATTTTCTTTACTATTGTATCCTTAGTGACTGGCCTAGGTCTAAATGGGTAAATGAATGAATGAGAACACTACACATTGATTCAAATTTAGCACATATCCCTACTGTCAAAGCAAGAGTTTAAGAGTATGACTTCTAAGTTGCAGAATAAATAAAAATCTTCTGAGAACTAAAAAAAGATCACAAAATTTAACTGTGCTTACAAGATGTATTATCAGATACTTGTCTCCTTAATATCTTATCAGATACTATATTAGCAGTGTACCCTACATGATGTGAAATGTGAGAAAGAAAATTGAAACTCCATCTCCAAAATAAGATTCTTCATCCAGAAATCAAATGACCAAAAACAGTTTTAAAAAATTATTTATAGGGACCCTCCCTAGTGGTGCAATGGGTTAATGCACAGTACTATGAAGTTCTTGCAGTCACTGTAGCACAAGTTTGATTCCTGGCCAGGGAGGTGACCCACATGGAGCAGCAGACCTCTCCTGACCTGCCTGTTGTTACCCTCAGCAGTGTATTTCAGTACCTCTGTTCTGCTCCCCATTCTGTCTCTGGAATATCCTCTCATATCCTGCATTTCTGGCCTGTACGCCAAAGCATAAATAAATCTTTAAAAAAATTATATTTTGTTCCTGTTTTCATGTTTATGCTTATCATTTTTGTAGGCTGACATATAGTGAGGGTACTGTTATTTATGATGTACTTCTTTTTGGTTAACATTCTGGACTACAAGAACAAGATAAAGTCATGAGTATATAATTTAACATGACACACTCAATTTGAATTCTAAGTTTGATTATCTATATGTTTGTTCACTGACTGACTAACTGACTGAGGATCCCACAGCTGTTCCATGATATGCTGTGCACTGTGTTATATGGTAAGGATCTAACAACAAACAATTGGTGAACTGTTTTTTTCAAAATGGTGAGCCATTTAGACTTTATCACTTGCTAATGAATTGCCATTTGAGTGATCAATTCACGTGATTTTCTTATACTAGCTTTCTCTTTTCTGCTCGAGATTTAGGAATGGTCAAGACAGTCAATATCTTTATTGGCAGTCGTGTTGTGACCACATAAATTTATGTTTTGAGTACCAGAGAAGATGTTACATGTAAAAAAATTGGGGGAGTATTAATATGTTATATAAATCAATGTTATTATTAATCAATGTTATTATTATCATGGGCAATATTATTTGGGTTGGAAAGATAAAAATGGGTAATATAATTTACATTTGATTTTAAGATGTCCTTGAAGAAGGGTGGAACATTAATCATTCCTCTCAGCTGGCCTGCACTCTCTCCCCTGCTGTCAGCAACTGGGTGTCAGTATGCCAAAATTGCAAAGTCAGGAGATGGTCTAGGTGGTATTGGTGAAAGATATTTTATCTCAGATTACCTAAGTTTTAAATGTGATGCTGCACTTTCTAAAATATTATTTTCCATTTTGTTATAAAATGAATTCCCCAGTTTAGATATTAAAATATAAATAGAGAAAAAAATGACAATGTTGAGGGTTAGAATTATGCATTCAGTATTTCCTGCGAAAATCATTTTCCTATAAGAATCCATGTAATTGAAAAAAGACACTTTATCAAAATTTTGACAGCAGTACTTAATAAAATGGAGTTGGAACCTAAATTTAAATAATAAATTCTTTAAGCTATTACAGTTTACTTTTTAAAACAAAATTTTAATTTCTATATGATTTTAAAAGGACCTATCAATTTGCTAAATGCAATAAAAATTTAAACAGGACATGATTTGTAACACAAGGAAAAATGTCTTTAGAAGATTTAATGGGGAAATACTTTTTAAAAAATAAAAATAGCTGACTTTTAAGAAGCTACTACATTAAACTGAATTAAGAAATTACTGTAGTGTTCCTCAAAAGTTTTAAAAAAGGAACACATATTTTTAAATTCCAAAATTATTTTAGAAAATGCTCTTAGTTTGATTAGCTAAAATTAGCTCCAAGTAAGATGAGTATTATAGAACCGTAACACTTAGCCTCACAATAGTTCTTTCAAACTACAGATAACTAGCCAGAGTAGAAGCAATTTCTCAAGACAATCTTGTCTCATGAATGTTCATTCTTCCATGATAAGGTTTAATGACAAACTGTAAAATTTATTGGATTTTGCCAAGACTATTTTAGATATACAAAATAGGGCATTTGACCATAACCTTATTCTTTTTTTCCTATTTCTGCTTTGTAAAATCCTGCTATTCACCAAATTTATTCATCTAATATACTATTGGTTGAAAATCACTGAATTCAATTCAGCTAGAGCTAGAGAAGAAATGGCCAACCTATGCCTGTTTTACTCTAATTTTATTTCAGATACTTACTAGGCAAGCTACATCACATTTATGTGTATTAGGAGGTAATTTTGTTTAGAAAGGTTATGTGACATATAGCTAAAGTGACTTCTATCAACATGACTAGTAGAGACTAATATAAATTTAATAAATATGTCAACTATAACATCAAAAGAATCGTGTTAAATATGTATGAGAAGGTGTGTAGAAATAACAGTATCTTCAAAATTCAAACTCTGGTGTAGTTTAATAATAGACATCAGAATGTTAACACTGAAAAAGTACTGTCATGAATACATTATTTGCAAGAAAGTAGGATAAGAGATCTGTGAAGTGTTTAATACATTTATCCTGATGGCTTTGGTAAGTGAAGTGAAATTACATATACTCTATCTAGTTTCATGTAAGGAAAATGGCATCAAAATGTGAGAAATACAAAGGAGGATGATCAACATAATTGAGAAAATAAAAGACAGTGTTGTAGAAAAGGCATTTGCAAATGAGCAAAATATTCAGTACTAAGAGAGTTAAGGTATAATAATGAAAAATCAATTGTTCTCATAGGGTTTTTGCCAATGGATCTGTGGTTGTTAACACATAGGAAGTGAGATGAAACTGAGCCCTTGGGAAAGACTTGCTGATTCTTTTTAAATAGCTTGAAGGTGAAAATACCAGGTGGTTTCTAGAGCAAAAGGCCAATTCCAATAACCATGCCAACCTCAACGTTTTTATGTCAAGAAAAAATGAACTAGGGTAAGGAAAAATTGTTTCCTCTTTCTAGCAATCATATATGGTATCAATCTATTTTAATATATTTGTATATTTAGTGTATTTGAATATTTATTTTAATGTCTAATCCCTTGAAGTCATTCTTTAAATTAAAATGTACTATATGACAGCCCCTAAACTGTCTCTGCTCTGTCTAAGAAAGTAAGGAAGGAACCTGTTTGTCCCAGGCAGTTATAATATTTAGGATAACTTGCGCCCACAGAAATATGAGGGGAGAGCCAAATGGGCCCCTTTTGGCCCTATACCAGTTTCCACTGCTGCCCTTGGCATTGTCCTTATAACCTGCAGACCATAAAGCAAACACCTTCGCCATCCTACTATCAAACAGGCACTTCCTCACACCGGAGCTTTGGGCTGGAAGTCGGAAAGCTGCAACCATTCTTACAGTGTCCAGATGTGTCCTCTGGTGTTTGGCGCGGTCACTGGAGTTACTGAAGGCCTTCTGACAGCCTGGGTGTTGGCACAAATATGGCTTCTCACCCGTGTGACTCCGCAAGTGAATCTTGAGATTTTCAAGCCTTGAAAAGGCCTTTTTGCAACCTTCAAACTGCAAAAGGAAAACAATTTTTGGTTGTTGAAAAGGAACTTGAGTGTTTGGTTTGTAAGGGGCATGGTCGGGGGTGGGGGTAAATGTCCTTAGTCTGTATTTAGCCTAAAAGAAAAAAGAAATCTAAATAGTAACAAATCTTACTTCTAAAAATAGTCATATGTTTATGTGAACTGCATTTTTCCACTGAGTATACATGCCACTTTCCATACCAGATTTGAGTCCCAAACTGATTTCTGTGATTACTTATGTCAGTGAAAATTTGCTGTGAGCCATCTGGCTCTGTTAATAAAAATACAGTAATGCATGTCTTAAAGATTTATTAAAAAATTAACACACTTTTCCATTTCCAAATTGGTCTAAATTGAAGGAACCAGGAAGGAAGAAACTTTTTACAACTAATAAACTAACAAGAAAAATCAAAGTGATGTATGAGAAAAAAAGGTGAATTGAAGATGTAAGAGTATGTGATGAAAAAGGCATGTGTCCAGTGAATCATCATGATCATAAATATCCCTAGCTATCAAAAAGTGACCTTATTAACATATAGGGTAAGGCCTAATCTATGGATGAAGTTTTTAGTACATTGTAAAAAAGAAAACTGGAAGACAATTAATTTAGTGCTAAATTACTTCCCGAATACATACTTCTAGTTATTTTTTAAAAGAAATTTTGTCATTGAGTTCATGAAGAGAATAATTTAAAATGAAAGGCTGAAGATTTCAAGAAATCTTTCACTGGCTTGTCAATAATATGTATTGATAGGTATATTTGTAGGCAAAATATCAGCCACTAATACAAGGTCATTGTGATGATCACCCTTTAAAGTGACAATCTAAATAAAGAGAATGTGTTACAGAAAGCCTCTAAATGAAGCATAAAGATGAGATGGGCATTTATCCTTTTAACTATTTCTTTGAACTAAATCTCAGAGTATTTGTCACTTTGACAGTTTTAATCCCATTTGAGTTTCCTCTGTGAGAGAAACATATAAATGAAAAAACTAATCAGAACAAAGTGTACCATACTTTAAATGATTGAGAAATCTCACTTTTAGGGAGAAATGTACAGGGTAGATTGGACAGAAAGTAAGTATGGAAGGTAAATTCAAGATACCCACAGGGTGGATAGGACAGAACATAAGTATGGAAGGTAAATTCAAGATAAATTCAAGAGTAATTTATCCTTACTATAAGTAATGTCATGAAACCTCTCCATTCTGTTACCTATTACAATGGATGATGATACCTTGTTCATGAAAGGATGAGAAATAGTAGGATTTGGCTATTTGAATTTTCATCTTTAAGTTAAAGGATGAAATAAGGAGAAAGAATAACCAGACATGTCATAACTCCATCTATTTAAGTTGTCCAGATTTTGCATGCTGGATTATTTTAAGAAATTTATGAAAGTTGCACTTATTTTTGATTGAGAGTTATACATGTTTCACAGACATATGTTGGTTTATTTCAATTTTGATATTTTGCTTAAAATAATTTTGGTGTTTTCCTGACTTCTATTTCACATAAAAATAAATTTAGACTGGGCTGAAAATGATTGCTGACGAAGCCAACTTTTCAACAGGATGAAAAGCATATAATGTCTATGGAGAGAGAGAGAGAGAGAGAGAGAGAGAGAGAGAGAGAAGTTAATTAGCTTATAACTGCAGTAATTCAAGTAGGTCTCAAATTTGAGAATAAAAGGCAAAAATAACCTCTTATTTATAGCGAGCAGGCTTCTGTGACCAAGACTCTTTTAACAACTCAGTGCAAGCCCCTAGAGCTCAGTTTATTCGACTTGGAATCACTTGGTGGGCCACTCTTAAGTCTGAAATGAGTTTGTGGGCTTGACACACTAGTAGCTTAGTTACAAGGAAGATTCATCTGTAGGGTTGGTGCCTTTTGGGTTTAGCTCTCAGGGGTACATAGGTCCAAGCATCCCCACCGTTCTAGTTATTTCCATTACTGGTCAGAGAGAAGGCAGCAACATGGCAGCACAGAACTGTTTCATGTAAATATTTTTTCCCTGAAATAATTAGGCAAATAAAACACCAGACTTACCTCAAAATGATTAGAGATCTCCAATATGTCCTAGAACTAATTTGAACTGCCTACTTGATCACTCAAACTGCATGTAGATTAGCATTTCCTATTTTCTCTAGCTAAATGTCCAGTAAAATGCCTAGTTATAGAAACACCATTATTACTATTAAGAAAAGTAATGATCAAAAACCAATGGGATTGTTTCATTACAAGAAAATCTGTAAAAAGTGAACTACATCCCAAAATTTTGACCATTTTTTTCAAAGCAGAAATGGAGGAAATATGAGCACCCACATTAAAACTGGCAACAAAAAGATTATCTACAATATCATGAGAATCCAGCTGATATTAGATATTTCCCTCCTAACAAGAAAGGCCAGAAGACAATGGTATATGTCATATATGTACTAGCTTAACAGTATTTTAGGGGAGGAGACTATGATTTATTCTTACTGAGTTATATGAGTAAGGGCAGGAGAAAGACAGTTTATGTATTCAGGAACTCACGATATGTTAAACCCACCCATGAACTTGGAGCCATTTCCTTGGCGAAATCATGAACTCAAAACCAGTAAAACTGACAAATGACTTGGTGAGGGGCCCTCATGCTCAATTTATTTTAGGTATATGCAGAGGGCACCATACTTGATTGAACTTGCCACACTAAAAATTCTGCAAGAAGAGGAAGGAAGTGCTGTTCATTTCTCTAATAGTGTCTGGATAAAACTTTAAAGCAAATAATTTTATAATGAATCGTTATTATTCATTATGAGAAAAGCCTATAATTCTTCAACACAAGACTTTCCTCTCCCTCAGGTACTCTTACCTCTAGATTTATAAATTCTGCTAAATGCCAACATTAAAAATTAGCTAACATTCACGTACAACTACAAAAGGCTGTTACACCAAAACTAAATGCTTTGGGTATTCTGCTGGGTTTGACAAAATGTGTTCTCATCCTAAAAACTAAAGTCTCCACCCTGAAATATAAGAACCAAATTGTCACTTGACTGCTCATGTCACTGCCACCAACCAAATCCTACACAAAAATTGATCAATATCATTGTCTGAGGTCTACTCCTTCCTGGAATAAGCTCAGTGCCACATAACTGGATTATTAAGCTTGAGGCTGTCTGTGGTTCAAATCCAGGGTACACTACAAGAAGAAAAAATAAGTCAACCAGCAAAGAAGTTCTCAGAATCCAAAAGAGAGGAGGGTGGCATAAAAAGAAAAAAACAGAATACCAAAAAAAAAAAAAAAAAAAAAAAAAAAAAAAAAAAAAAAAAAACAAAAAAAAAAAAAAAAAAAAGAGAGAGAGAGAGAGAGAGAGAGAGAGAGATAAATGCAGGGTAGATAATTTGGGAGGGCGAGGTGGTGGGAAATGCTAATAATTATATATAAAAACATCCCCCCCCAACATATATTGAATAATGGCATTATGTGTTAGGCAACAGGATCAACAAGGTGAATAAAACTTGAACTTTACTCATGAAGATGGAAACAAAGTCAATGCATATGGATGGGCAGGTTATATAATGATGAACCTTAAACAGTATTTACAACGATGCAATACCTAGACCAGCAGCATCAGTGTGCTTTGAGAACTTGTAAGAAATGAAAATTCTCTGGTCCTCTCCCAGATCTATAGAACAGTACCCTAGAGGTGGGGACCAAAACCCAAGACTACTAACATGCTCTGTAGGAGATTCTTATGTTTCAATGTGAGCCACCAGTATCCATCTTGTAAACACTGTTCAATTTCTTAATAACATCTCCAGAGGTAAAGTTTTCTGCAGAATTCAACCATTTCTAATGGGTGCAGCCATAAACTGAGCTTCTTCATTCAGGGGATTATCCCCATTCACACAGCAAATAGGATAAGAGCCCACAATACTAATCTTACTACTAGAAGTCCTTTAAATTCCTGACTATTAATTGGTTGCTTCTGAAATAGGTGACCTTTACAAGTTCCTTCAGTGGTCTCCTAACCAACAAAACATTCCACATTTCCAGTGTCCATTTTATTCTCTTGTTGAGAAAAAGCACTGAAGAGAGTCATCATTTTCCATTTGCACATTTTGGGTTGTTCAGACACATCCAAGGAGAATGCATGAAACTCTGTGACAGAACTTTAAGTCTCCTGGGTTTTGAAAATCCTGAATTGCACGAAGTCTTGCTCTAGAAAAGCCTCTTTAACTGAGATTTTTTGCAAGTGACAAACTTTAATTAAAAAGTGTAAGTTTAAAAAAAAGTGTAAGTTGCCCCAAATCCAGAGAACCTTAGCTTGTACCACTTTGCTAATTTAAGGGATTATTTTATATTTAAAGGATCACAACTGGACTGTAATCACCATCTCTATATATTTGTTGATTATGGATTGTTGACATTAAGTGGCATTAAGATGACCTTTGAAATATTACTTTCCCTTTCTATTAGAGGCATCTGTGTAAGGTACTGAAAATGAACGGCTCATTAGACACTATTAAAATAGGATTTAGTCCATATGTGCAACCAATAATCAAGCAGAATATTACTCCCTCCCCTAATCTGCTATTTAGAGTTCTGAGAAACACAAGTTCATATTCAAAGCAGTAATAATAACAAACCTTTCCTGATCAGGTTTCTATACTGTTTGTCAACAAAACCCAAAGAGAAAAGAGTTTGGGATACTGGACATGCTTTTTTAAAATATACATTTGATTTCATCCATCAAGACCAATTAATCCCATTAGTGATGGCTGATGCTGTGATGTTATGCAGTGCTGGGAGTCGACTGATGATCATATGCTAAGTTTACATCTTCCATTTTCAGTCCAAAGATAACAGAGATGAAAGGCACTGTTGGAAAGGTCAGAAATACTTCTAATGCTGTAGATACAGTCAAGGTGACTTTTACATTAAGCACAAGAGTTCAAGTCCACTTAAATCATGGACACATCAATAAAAGACATAAATGA